GATAAAAAATACAGCTGCTACTTTACCTTCTTGTAACCTGGTGTAATTACATGGTATTTTTAAGCATTATCCAATTTGAGCCTTAGGACAATTACGCAACTTAGGAAGGGCAGAGGGTGGTAGCCCTTATTATAGGTGAGAAAGCTGAGGTCAAGGTACATGAAGGGCTTTGACCACAGTTATTTGAAGAAGGAAATCTTGGACTGTTAGAGCCCAGATTTTCTAACTGATTCAAACAGGATTCTTGTATTGGACTCCTAAGAGAGTCCTGCGGAGTGTTTTTATTTATAATTTATTTTAGATGTAATTTTAATAAATTTTCTTTGGTTTCTAACTTGTGAGCAAATGAAAATGATCCATTTAGAACTACACGTTAGTGGCAGTCAAATTGCCAGCAGCAGTGAATGATAGACAACAACAAAGGATGGCTGAGAAAAGCTATGAAGCAGACATAAATCAACAAGCATTGGGATCTGGCACCACGCTGCCAACGGGTGGAAGGCTCCTTATGTTTTGGTAGCTTCCAAGTAGTCACTTAACTATAATATCATATAATAATTGCCATAGAAATAATTCCTTAAGAAAAATTTATAGGAGGTTTCATTAAAAATATTTGCTTGCTGCATTTACAAAATTAACAGATATTAACTTAATTCTTTATGATCTTAGATAAGTGAAGTATTGTTGTATTAACCTCTTAGAAGTCTTAAGATTTGTATTTTATACTGAGCAAATTCCTGTGAATTTTAGTATGGCAGTCTTTTATCAATCAGTTAGTCAACTTTGATCCGATTTCACTGACATTAATTAGTACAGCTTTTGTTTCCGGCTGTCTTAAGTATCAGAGCCACTGTCTCTGATAGGGAAAAATATCTAGCTCTGACTTTGACAAAGGCCAGAGAGGCAGCACTTGAAGATACTGGTCAGCAGAGGGTGAGTTCGGGGGTGCACTTGGGATGCCCACTGAGACCAGCTGACTGAAGGAGGCAGATAAGAACATTCTTCAAGGGTAAGAAAAGCTAAAGCTGGTGATCTCCTCTCGGCAGATTTGATGCTTTAATGTTTTTTCTTTCCTCTCTGTCCTGGGAAGAAGCTGTCCTCTGTTCTCCCTTGGGAGTTTTATTTTTGGCTTGCTTCCCTAGCGATCTTCATTACAACACAATGTGAGAGTAACTTCATTTTAAGGGGATTTAATCCATAATTAAATATTGAAAATGAGCAAACATATTTAGAAGTGAGTCCTAGACATTTAGTGATATGTTTAATTCCCCTATGAATAGGGAGAAATACTTTGTTGATATGTGTTGAAGTACTTTGCTCTCTTAATGTATAATCAGTGTTTAATTATTCATCATTCTCCAGGAGTCTCTATTCATTTGGCACCTTTGAGCCAGACTAGTGTAGTATAATTAATATTTATGATGGTAATCTCATATTCCTACAGGATTTCCAAATTAAGGAGAGCTTATGGTATTTGGTATCTTTTAATGATGAAAATATCCTATTGAGTTTTAGTTCTTTGGAAGCTGATAACTGTAGATACAGTCAAAGCCGGAATATTTGAGTTCTTGCAATACCTCTAACAATGCTGTATGATAATTTATTTTTATGTATTTCTTAAGTCTTTAAATGATGTATTTAAATAGAACACACTTGTTAGATTTTTTCTTTTTATTTCATAGGTATAAAGTGCAAAAGTAGAATGTAAAACTATATATGGGTTGATATCAATGGTATATAAAAATTTATATCTGTGCACTAAAAAATTAGAAAGCTATAAATGTTACAGTAGTAACTCCTGGATGATAGGATTGTAGACAATTTTATTTTCTTTGTGCTTTTCTATAATTTCTGGTTTTTCTAAGATAGAAGTATATTTTTGCAGGATGAAAAAATTATTTTAAAACAAAAGATTCTTATGTGTTCAGGGGGCTAAGCCTATAAGTGCATTTTGTTCTAAATTCTCATCGATTACGAATGTACTTGTTTTGTGGGTGAAGTTGTACTTCATTAGTGTGGAAGTTGGCTGTTTTGGAGGGATGTGTTCCTTGCTGTAACTAAAAAGCAGTTCCTTGCCACGGGCTCCTTGTTTTGTGTGATGAAGTTGGTAGTGGCTGTTCTGGAGGGATGTGTTCCTTGCTGTAACTAAAAAGCAGTTCCATGCCACGGGGCTCCTTGTTTTGTGTGATGAAGTTGGTAGTTGCTGTTTGGAGGGATGTGTTCCTTGCTGTAACTAAAAAGCAGTTCCATGCCACGGGGCTCCTTGTTTTGTGTGATGAAGTTGGTAGTTGCTGTTCTGGAGGGATGTGTTCCTTGCTGTAACTAAAAAGCAGTTCCATGCCACGGGGCTCCTTGTTTTGTGTGATGAAGTTGGTAGTTGCTGTTTTGGAGGGATGTGTTCCTTGCTGTAACTAAAAAGCAGTTCCATGCCACGGGCTCCTTGTTTTGTGTGATGAAGTTGGTAGTTGCAGGAGGAGCTTTAGCAGGGCTTTCACTTGTCGTTGCCCTGCCCGTCTCCTTCACTCATTTGTTTCTCATCTTGACCATAAACCACAAGTTATCTTGGGAAATGTTTGTTTCACGTGAAAAAGTAAAGCTTTTGTGAATACATATGGTTGTGATCATTAATTAGAGAGATGTTCCTGAAGACTTGAATATGGTGGTAGTTTCAAAATAAGGCATTTTGTGGTGAATGCAGTAAAACACAACCTGTGGAAAGTTGTAAATTACTTGTGAGTGGAAAGTTGTAAATTACTTGTGAAAAATTAGTATAGATTATTTATTTGTAAGAATAATAATTTGTTTAATGAGTGCTTCTAGCTTCTTTCAGCTTGCAGGTTTTTATATGTTGTGTGTGAATTCTGTTTTTAATAGGTTATCTCATCTGAGAGTCAGAAATTAATTTCTGTTTTTGGTAAGACAAGTTTTCTCAAACATTTAGATGTGTTTATAATGTTTTATTGACTGGAGTCTTAGGATAAGTGGAAAGCTAAGTCTAAATGAAAAAATGCTTTTAGGATCCTAGGATCTTGAGATTCATCATTACATCATTGTGAATTAACTTTTTTCTCCGAATCTCATTAATTTGATTTAACGTCTACTTTCCCCAAAGCCTAGCTGTGTTTAAAAATCATGTTTATAGTTGATCCTGATGTTATTTAAATGTATCTATCTAATGTTAATTGCTGGCACTATAATCATTACTCATTTTAAAAGAAAATTTTTGAAAACCATTTTGTTAACTACAAAATGAAGGGATTCTACTTTCTGAATGTTTGAGATCCCTTTAAACAGAAAACAACAGAAATATGTGATCAGCTGTTTTTCCTGTGAGAGGCCTCAGTGCCTGGCTTCTTTCTCTCCAAGAGCCTGGGGCCATACATAGGCAGTTAAATGGGTTTCTTGAAGATTTTGGGAGGAGGGGACGTTTTTATATTAAGTCATGTATATTTTGAAGTAAAATTACAAAGTGTGTGTGTTTATGCCAAACCAGTAGCATTCAGAGAACTTTCATTGTTGCATCTTTGATCACACCCCTGGATTCCCTCGAGAATTTCCGCTTACTTCCAGGTGTGGAAAAGTCTGAGACACTTCCTTCATGTGTGGGGTTTTGTGCCTTTCATAAATATTAGCTGTAATATTAGCTATATAATAAACAAGTCACGCTTGTTTTAGTTGAGATTAAGAGGCAAATAAGAATAAGTTTACTTTTCTTTTTGAGACGGAGTCTCACTCTGTTGCCCAGGCTGGAGTGCAGTGGCGCGATCTCGGCTCACTGCGACCTCCACCGCCCAGGTTCAAGCGATACTCCTGCCTTGGCGTCCCAAGTAGCTGAGATGACAAGTGCCCGCCATCATGCCCGGCTGATTTTTTCGTATTTTCAGTAGAGACGGAGTTTCACCGTGTTGGCCAGGCTGGTCTCGAACTCCTGATCTCAGGTGATCGCCTGCCTTGGCCTCCCAAAGTGTTGGGATTACAGACTGAGCCACTGTGTCCAGCCTATGTTTACATTTTTTTAAAGGAAAATTTCTGACATACACAAAATGGACAGATTGTCTATTAGTCACTCATGGAACCATCACTCACCTTCAACAGATATTTCATGCCAATTTTTAGGAATTTAATATCATTAAGTTATTTGCTAAGATTTGCCAAGATAAGTATCTGGAAGGTCAAGGTACTGACATCAGAAGCATTTCTGAACAAAGATGTTGCAGTTGGTGGGTGGGTATGACTGTGTTCAGCTGTTGGATAAGCTTGCATAAATAGTATCATCTTGACTTTAATCTTTCGGTTGTTCAGAGGTAGTGTGCATATTTCTGTTTAACTCCTGGAAAGTTGCCAAGATAATTTGTATCCTCTTTCCATCCTTGGTACCTTGACGCTAAATAGTCTGGGAATAAAATCAATGATTTCATATTAGGAGCCTGTTGGATAGAAACAATGAGAAGGAAAAATCTTCATTTTTCTATTTAAAAAATTTTGGGTATTACCTGGCTATAAAATTCTGGACACTGTAAAATTTGTTTCACTTTTCATCTATTTGGGAATGCATTTTACAAACAGAACAAGGAGTCAAACAAACATGGGTTGAAATCTCAGCTGGCCTTAGATAAGTACTCTGAGTCACTTCTCTCAAATGTAAAATGAGGATATAGATTGTTCTGCGAATTAAACAAAATAATACCTTCAACATTGATTATTTTAAAATACCGTTTGAATCCCACTATTGAATAGGAACAGTGTGTCCTGAGTTCAAGTGTGAGATGGATTTGTATAACAGCATTTGAGGAAGTACTATTAACACGGACCAGACGACTTAGAAAGGAGAGCTAATATTTATTTTGTCGTATCTAATTTTCTGACTGTTATGAGATCTAAAGACGCAGTGGAAGATCTAAAATTAGGGAGAAAATGTTCTGTTATGTTTGAACAAATGCATTGAAACAAAGCATTGAAACTGTAATGCCTCACAATTATTTCTTATCAAACAATTACAGCAAACTCTGGCCTGTTCTATTCTGACTGCACTATTGAGTGAATTTTCAAGTTCGAGTAAAACTAGCAACATTGGATTGAGCATGGAATTCCATGGTAACTGCAAAAGAGTTTTTCAGGTATTGGTAGTTTCGTTCTTGAGTTTTAATTATCGGATCATTCACTTTTTACTCCATCTATTCCTAATGACGTGAGAATATTTTTATGTAGTTGAATGATAGCCTGTACTTCAGGATTTGTTTTTTGATTTCAAAGGATACAGTAAAGTGATAGGTTTGGTGAATGCAGTTGATGCTTTAAAATTACTCGTTTAATTCTAGTCTTAAAAAAATACTTCTATAAAGATCTTTAGTTTATTATTTATTTCTTATTGTGTTTAGATATAACTAATTCAGTTGATGGGACTCTGCTGGCCTTAAAAATAGGTCTGGAAGAATGCCAGAAGGCCATGTATTTCAAACGTTATTGCAGATGGTGCGGGCTCTTTGTCTTGTATGTATTGTTTGGCTGTGGAGTAAAGTTATGTGAAGGCATTGGCTTAAATCCTAGGGCTCTGCACTATAGCAACTGACTCCTCCAGCTCTGCAGAAGTTGTCAAAGACTCTCTTCTCTATGGAAGTAGCATTTATATTCGAGTACATGAATTCCAGCTGGCGTCACTCGAAAGCTACTGCGATGTAAATTACAAGGAGAGGCCTAAAAATGGAACACGTTCTTAAGGAAATTGTGTTTTCCATTGGAAATTTTAAGGTGTTTGTTTTGTTTCATGATTCTAAAAGGGAATACATTTTGAATAAATTTTTCATATAAAATATTTGTGATTTATTGACTATAGGAAGAAGACCTTCGTCAGATCTTCATGTTAACTGTTGAAGTTCTGCAGGAGTTCAGCAGGCGGGAAAACCTCAATGCTCAGATGTCTTCAGTGTTTCAGCGTTACCTTGCACTCGCCAATCAAGTCTTGAGCTGGAACTTTCTTCCTCCAAATTATATCCTTTTAACAAATTAATAGTTTATCTGTGGTAATTTTCATAGGTGACTTAATTACAGCTTGGAGTCTTTAACCTCTGCAGCTTTTATAAAACATGTTGAAAGAAAATAAGATTTTTTTTAAGAAATAGAATTTAATTTCTTTATCTTACAATGCCAAAAGACAGTGGATACTAGAATAACACTAGAAAATTTAAAAGTTTATTTACTCCTTTGTAGAAGAAGTTTGAATACTGGATACTAGAATGATACTAGAAAATTTAAAAGTTTATTTACTCCTTTGTAGAAGAAGTTAGAATATACAGAAACGTGGTGGATGACGGAGCTATTGCTAATCTAGAATTAGCAATATTCTTAGGGAAGGAAAAGAAAACAGGTAGAAAGTACCTTTTAAGAAACTGAATCATTTTTTCCTTCGACATGTAATTATGTCTGATTTTTTGTTTGACTGACTGAAAGCTAGTTTGGAGTGCAGTGTAGATAATAAGTTAGTAATATGTTTGTTCTTCAAGGGCCTTTACCGGTATAAAAAGATGAGAATTTTGCTTTTAGGAAATTATTCAGAAGTTTAAGTGGGTTGTATTATCAATGCATGTATCTGCTTTTTAAATTAGTTACTTAAAGTAGAGATACTTGTGTTTCATAAACTTTAAGGAACCGCTGTCTCATCTGCGGTGCTAGGACGTCTGCTGCCTGTTGATAATAGTATACAGTGGCTACCCATTTGCTGTGTGAAGTCCGATAGATCTGGATTCAAGCCTCTGCTGATCTTAGGGAAATCTCCTGGGCCTCTCTGAGTCCCAGCTTTTCCAAATGTAAAATGGGGGTGTGGATTGTTGTGTGGATTAAATGAAACTGCATTTAAAACACTCAGGAGTTACTTGCTATTTATTGAGCTCTATAATAGCCCCTTGAATTAAATAGTTCATTATATAACTAGGGGTCTTTTACACTCTTCTTTGTTGATCCAGTACGTCTCTGCAGTATAGGAAATTTAATGTGACCTGTTCTAGATGTCTTTAATCTGGGAGTCTGTTCAGAAGAAAAAGACCGATGATAAGCAGACAGGAAATAGATGTGAAGTCACATCAGAGATCTTTATTGTAACAGAGCCAAGAGGAGCTACGTTTACATACATAGAAACTCACTAATTATTTGTGGCTGGTAAAATTATGACATTTAAGGAGTGTGGTGGGGTGTAACTCCTTCTTCCTTTTAAACTTAGTCTATTCACGTAGTAGAAAGGCTGTGTCAGTTAAAGTGCGTCTGACTCCTTCAACCATGAGTTCCCCAGGTTTCTTTCCTAAAAGCGGTCATGTGAGCTGCTGCGTTGTGGGGCAAAGCTTACAGCAAGGTCAGTCACCGTTTCCTTTTATTCTTATTCTGTAATCATCTTTCTCCTAATAATCAACTTTTGTCTTTAATATATTACCTTAATTCTTTCTGGTTGTCAAGAGGTGCCTAATTGCTTAGGTTTGCTTTTTAAGAAATTTTCCCTTTCAGTGTGTCAATATTTTTGTTCCAGGTTTTTTTTTTTCTTTCTTTCTCTTTTTTTTTAAAATAAAGTTGGTAAGACAGACTTTATTCAGGGGAGCCAATGGTGATAGCTGTGGGGACCACCACAACAGGATCTTGCAGTTGGGGAGAGAGATTGGATTCAACTTCTTGCTCCAGTGTTTTCAGTGGGGAAAGAAAAGATACTGAAAAACCTTGAGACATATTTTAAAAATATCAGTCCATATGGAGCTATCAAAATATTAATTATACATGTAGGGAAAAAAATCAACAAAAGTTACACTGCATATATTTTAAAGTGTCTGTTTTAAGGGAAATACAGTTGGTAGAGAGTGACTATTTCATAAAAAGAAACAGTTCTCTGGGAGTTTGGAAACAAAGCTTGTCTAAAAGATACACACACACAAAATATTTTATAAAGTACTTAGGTAAAGCTTTGGAAAACCTGTCATCTGAAAATGATAAGCAATACTGCAGTGTTGCCAAAGGAAATAATTCCTTGTTGAAAGAAAGTATATCTTGGTTTTCGACTTGAGGATATTCTGCTTCATGGCTTATAAGTGAGTTCTTGTGTGACCTTTTCATATAGTGCCATTTGTTGGCTGACTACACTACAGCTAAGTATTCTTTGAGTGGATTAACTTTAAGTGTGGGAGAAAGAACTTGGCAGTGAGATTAAACTAAGCTACAGATTTAGCACTCATTAGGGAAATCAATTTCAAGGAACTCAATTCTGACTAATTTCTAATTTTGGCAATTACCTGGA